TCAGAAGGGGAACAGTTGACGGACTGTTTATTGTTTTTTTTCTTTTCATTTTTTCGAGCTGCGCCCTTGGCTCGAAGCCTGGATGCGTCAGCGGAAAATGTTTTATGACAGAAAAATCAATAAGTGTGTGACATGTGTTTATGCGGACTTGAGGATGGTGTTGAGGCATCTCTCGAGGCGGCGGGAACACATTTAGAGCTGGGGAACCGTAGACTTCCAGCTCTGTCACAGAGGGGAGAAGGATGGGCTGTCACGCCGCTCGCTTCTTCTTCCTCGACTGCTGGCCGAAATTCTGGGTTGGCTGCGCCTGGGCTGCAGCCGGAACCGGAGATTTTCTAGGCCAGCTCGCCCTTGTCCCCTGCCTGGGCTGGGGACTCGGGGCGGACTGCGACCTCTGCGTTTTCGGTATTTTGAACCGAGCAGGGTTCGGGGCAGCTTGGACGAAGGGCTGCCGCTGCGAAGGCAGCGGCTGGGCCCTTCGAGGGAGGCAGAGGTGGAGGGCCTCGTCTTCCTTCTTTTTCGACTCGCATCTCCTCTGCATGGAGGCAAGAGCGGAGCCGAAAATCCCCTCGGGAACGATGGGCATGTCAAGCACATCCTCCTTTTCCCGGTCTGGGAGGTTGGTGAGGTTGAGCCATCTAGCTCTTTCCTGCACCACCATGATCCCCATTGTTTTGCCCGTGGCCTGGACGGCGCAGCGTTGGACACGGAGACAAATGTCTGTGACCGCGGCCAACTCGTCCAGAACGGCCGGTCCAGGATTACTCGACATATCCTCACAGAGCTCCGCTTGGTATGCGGTTAGCAGTGAGGAAACGTTCAGAGCCCTGGCGGACAACGCTGCGGCTCTGTAGGACCGTTCAGTCATGGTCGACTGGAAACGGTCCACCTTCGCTGGCAGCGTGGGGTTCCTGCTTGGTGACGGGCCCATCCTCGGTAGGAGGTGGGCTGCCACCAGCAGTTCCATCGGCGGTATGCGGAGCAGGCCGAGCCTCTCCATACCGTCGCAGTATAGGGAGGAGGCACCCTGGGTTGGGGCCTTGTTGCTAAAGGGTCGGTCCCTCCACGAGACGGACACCTTATCCAACATCTCCGGGAAGACCGGGAGGAGTTGCCTCCTTGTCCTCGTTGCTTGGGGAGAATGTTTCCCCTCGTAACGGTACCTGGCGGTCTCCTTGGCCATTTCGTGCCACGGGATGTCTAGCCTGGACGCAGCGTGCTGACACGCGGCCTGCAGGTCCATGCTCAGTAAGGGCGAAGCTGGTGTGCTATCGCCCGGGAGAGCAGCCATCGCTCCCGGCTTTGCCGTTTGAGCCGATGACATGAAGATATCTTCTTCTTGCTCATCCGAATCAGACAGGAGGAACTCAGAGGTGTCCTCTTCGTCCTCCATGTAGTCTAATTCCAGGACATCCTCCGCGGGCGAGACCATGGTGAGGTCTCGCCGGGAGCTCCCGCCTGGTGAGGCGTGGGGCTCCGTTCCCGCGTCTCTTGCCGCCACCGGGTCCCGGCCTGACACGGCGTGGGATCCCGGTTCCGCAGCTGCCGCTGTTAGTGAGCCCCAGACCGACACAGTGAGGGGCTCAGTCTCTGCGGCGGACGCCCCCGTGTCTTGATTGCCAAACGGCGAATCAGTGGACATGAGGGAGTCCTGTTCCAACAAGCTAGCTTGGTGTGCTAGCCGTCGGTGGAGGCTCTTTCGGGTGAAACGGGCACAATGCCCGCACGAGCCGGGGTTGTCGATAGCCTCCTGGGCGTGTTCCAGCCCGAGGCAGGACAAGCAGACCTGGTGTGAGTTTGTGCCTGCTATCTTCAACCCGCAGCCGCATGACCGAGCCTCCGAGTCCCTGACTCCTCTGGTGTGAGGGGGAGAGGCGTCCATCTTGTTCGCCTTGTGGCGTGGAGAGGACCCGCTCGTAATAGGTACGTCGTTGAGAGAAAAAGTGTTACCAACCCGTCCTTAATCCGGAGAAAAAGGGACGGTGTGGGTCCTTTGTTCTCAAAGAATATTGACTGGTGTGTCAATATACTTCTAATCCTTTTCTCCTCCGTGAGAGAGAAAAAGAAAAGCGTCCTCGCTACCGTGGTGTCGGTAGTAAGGGGAAGCTAGCTAGCAACAGGTGCGTAGCTAGCTTGAGAAAAATCAAAACCTTACCTTACTTTCCGGGGAAAGAAACGGCGAGGTCGATTTGAATACTAACTGGCGTTAGTATTACCGTCTTCTTGCGAAGCAGAAGGAGTAGCCGGCGAGCGCCCGTCGACCGAAATGGTTATATTTGGGTTCAGTCTGTGGACCGTTAAGCTTGTCCGGCTACTATAGAGATGTGCTCTGAAGTGAGAAGAGGTGTTTGAATGACGCATGCGTCGTGGCGCAAGCTACTTATAGGGGGTGAATTCCCTGACGCTGACGTCAAGATCACCAGCCAATCAGGATTGGCGTAATGAGATTGATGCTTCTGTTTACTCCGCGATGAGGCGCATCCCATAGTGAGACATCGAACGGAGTGTTATGAATGAGAACTGATATGCTTTTACTCCCCTCAGTATGAAGGGTTTCCTTAGTGAGAGTTTCCCCTAAAGTCACATCTGCAGTTTGGGTGCAGATAGGCTGGAAGAGGACACAAGAGAAGCACTAAAAGCATTTTGGGTCAAACAGAACCTGATGCTTGAAAGATCCCAGAGCACAAACAAATCTATTTACAATCACAGGTTTTTGACCTCAGCTGCAAACACAAAGGCACATGGTGTCAGTGCATTGGTATAATCCATGTTCATATTGTTTAATACATTTTCTCTTTTGATTCAGGTGGGCTCTGCCTTACTATAAATACATGAAATAGTTTTATTATAATACATTTTTAATCTGCTGAGATTTCATATATAAACTATTGTAGCATAACGAATATAAAAAAGTTCCACAGCTAAGAATGTGAACCATCCTACATGTAATGAACAATACAAACAATATAGATTTAGCTTGGCAGTTCTAGTGTTAATACTATTTTTTCCACAGTCAGAATAGTGCTATTAAATGCTAAAATACCCACAAGTTAAAGGGTCAAACTCACTTGGACCTTACATCTGTCAGAGTGAATGCTTGAATTATTAAAGGCCACTGAGCTGTCTGTTTGTATCAGACTGTTCAGTCTACGAGTCATATCTAAGAGTAAAGTGCTTCACTTTGTTCAGTGTGTTGTGAGCAGCAACATAATAATCTATATATTTTAACTTGTATGTATGTGTATGTGTTTGTGTGTGTGAGTGTGTACATGGATATTTGAGGTTTTAATCCCCATAGTTAGCTCCATGTATTCTGATGGAGTCTCTTTCCTCTCTGGGTGAGTGGATGCTATGGAAGCTCCCAAGGGACAAACACATACAGCTGAGATAAAATTGGGATTTATTATCTGCCTCACTCAATTTATGCCTCCTCTTCTACTCTGCAACTGTGTCTCTGTCTCTTTCAGTATATGTGAAGCATGTGCCTTTGTTAATTAGTCTGAGAATTAATCCCTTTGAGACGCTGATTACTCTTCATCACCGTACAGTACAGCGGTCCCTCAACCAGGCACAGCTGCAGCGTTAACAGAACATGTTATTGTTCAACCATGCCGTCCTTGTCTTTGTAAGATTTATTTAAGGGTGAGTGCATCTTATTTGAATGGATTTTCAGACTCATAATTTCTCAAGGATTAAAATGTCACTGTGTTGATCAAGGGGAGGAAATCAGATCTTAATCAAAACTGATGATCCTATCTGATTGGTTCATTCTCAATATCAAACATTGTTCTTGTTTCATGCTTCCCTCTGACCAAAACATTTAAAATCTAGTTGTAAAAGCTGGAATAATTAGTTTATTTTCGATGATATATTTTGTGCTGTGGATTAGAAAGATCTAGTAACATAATGGATGAATGTAATTAAGTGACAACTGCTTTAACTCAGTAATAATGGCACATTTCCACTGCAGCGGGGTAGCCCCGTTTAAGCGTCCCTAAGCGTCCCTAAGCGTCCCTAAGCGTCCCTAAGCGTCCCTAAGCGTCCCTAAGCGTCCCTAAGCGTCCCTAAGCGTCCCTAAGCGTCCCTAAGCGTCCCTAAGCGTCCTCGCTCAGGCCTCGGGCTGCCTCGCTGGCCGTGGTGCATTGACATTACAGTTTAGAACCTGGGCTAGCAATGCAGTGTTGGCGGGGCGATCGGCTTTGTTGTTCCGTCGAGCTCCCGCTGGATTTTATCATCCCCAATGAGATTAAGGAACGTCGTTACCTCCTCGGTCGACCGCGGTGTGCTTTTCTTTGACGTTGCCATTTTTGTAGCTCCTCCGTTTACGAAAATGCTGTGTATAAAAATGCTGCAATCTTGCTTCTAGATATATGCGACGCTAGGGATGATCTCGCGCACGATCTTGTGACGATTCTCTCTGACCAATCAGCAGTCGAGAGTGTTGACGTCACTAGTTCAGCCCTGGCCCTGGCCTGATAGAACCACGATTTTATGGGGCCGGAAAAAGAGGGAAAAAGTACCCGCTAGCCGGTACTAGGCTATATGGAAAGGCCACCAAAAACTGGCCTGGCCGCTTGAGGACGATTAAGGACGCTTAAACGGGGCTACCCGCTGCAGTGGAAATGCGCCATAATAAGCAAAATAACATTTTCGGAAATATGTTTGATGTTACCTTTGTTCTAAGGTTAACTACTTCTGCCTGCTTATAGCAGTTCTGTATGTGCTATTTATTTCAACAACTTCACCTTTATGTATTTCTCTAAAACAACTGATCATTTATAATGTAGTATGCTTTATTCGTCCCTTTGTTCCTGAAGTCCAATTCTAAACTGGGCTGAACTCAAAGCTGCATCCAGTGATTTAGATTCAGCTTTTTCCAACAAAGAGACATCTAATTGCTTTAAAACTTTTTCAGACTTTAACAAAAATGATTAAGTTAAATCTGTAATCTGAATTTCTCCCTCCCTTTGCTTCCACCCTCTACCTTTGTCTCCTGGCAGCATTTCCCGGCTGTGAGTGGGGCCTTCATGGATTCTCCGTACAACGGCAATACGTCCCTGCAGACGTCCACCTCCAACCTCAACGCCAGCTGCTCCAGACCCTCAGAAACAGAGGATGATGGGAAAGTGTCCAGTGACACCATTTGGCTGTGGGTCGCTGTACTGGCAACCATTGGCAACATAGTGGTGGTGGCCGTGGTTTGCGCCTGTGCCTTCTGACGAGATGGAAACTGATGCTGTCTGATAATCCGAAACCTTCCATATCCTGAAAATATATATTTTTCTTCAGAAATGATGTAAAATAGCCTTAACTTGAGACATCTGAAATGGAATTTGCATGGGATAGTCAAATCAAATGATTTTTACATTTTTTCAAGAAATATAAGAGAGTAAAACTAATAAACTACAGTTAAATAATCAAAATAAAACATACTTTCAAAAATTTATTTATTTATTTTATTTAAAGCTTTCATCAGATGAAATAATGATCCGATAGAGACACAGGTATATCTATTTTTTCCTTCAAGTGTTACAGTGAAACAATACAAAAACAAAACCCACAAAAATACAGTTAAACTAATATCACACTTACATTAAGGGACTTTGAAAATGGCCACTGAAACATATCTTACCTAATATACTGAATACTGACCTCAACCTGACCAAATAAGACCACATGCAGACCCACTCATGCACTGTTTTGCACATGTTATTGTGAAAAACCAGCAAAAAACTACCTAGCTAGTTTGTCTAAACAAACCAGATCCAGTGGACAAATATATAGAAAGTTAAAGACAATCCTCAGAGCTTTGTTCATTCAATCAACCCACAAGCAACACTTTCCACCAGAATTGGCTGAAATGGTAGGGGTTGGGTCAGGGTTAGTGTTTTGGGGAACGTGCGGCACTCCGTAGGAGCGCAGCGTGGTGCACGGGCTCTCGGGTAAATATTTGTGTTTAAAAACCTGTTTAAAAACTCCTTATTTTATCCTATTTACCAATCAAAGTTTATAAGGGTTAGGGTTAGCCACCATGGCTTGTCATTAAGCTTCCTAATCCAACTTTAATATCACTATAACAATAATGTATCGGAAACAATCAGATGTCACCAGGATGTTTATTTTAGCCTCCATATGGACAAAGTATTAACCTATTTAATAAGCATTTTGTCCTGGAGCAAAACACAACACTTATTCACTTTGGATTGCAGGCTGGAATAAGTGGTGCCTTAACATAATAGTACTATACTTGCCTACGTGGTCAGCTGGTTATGTAAGCCAAGCTGTTATATAAACCCATTCAGGCTCAGCAGAGGTCAGAAGGATTACACAGGATCATAGCTTGATCTCTTTGAGGGATCTGAAGCCAGAGAGAGATCCACTGTTGAAGCTTGTAACGGAGTGTGTGATAGTAGGATTTAGAAGTACTACGAGGTCCGAGCCCTGCAGTATAACGTCCTTACGATGCTCGACCAAAGCACTGAACTTCAACCTGTTCTGTCTTTACTATTCTTTTCCATGCTATTGATTTTATTCTTACATTTACAGCACCCAGTATATTTAGTTGACTAATTTTGAGCAATAAGAGCAATATGGAATTTACTCAGCTCCGCCTCCTCACTAATGTTACGTTTTTTGTTATGGCATGGCAGTCATTGATAACAATGGTAGATAAACCACTTGAACATTATTAGTAGTTTGTTTTATAAGGAGTCCATGATTTAGAAATATGAGATAACAGAGAAAGTAATGGGTTGATTAAGATGATCTCATGCCATGACTAAAGCTCATTTTTAGTCCACAAACATCCACTTGGTTGGTTAATTTAAAAACTCTGCTTCATCTGACACCCATGTCTAGTATATATATATTTTTAAAAGCCTAGAGAAAACAACATCCTTTTAGAGGGGAGCAGGGCTGAGCTGAGCAGTGACTTGTTGAAATTTAACAAGCAAGGAAGTTCAAGCAATTGTCTCTGCAGATATTAGAGCGGTCAGAGCAGATCGTATCTCTGCGGCTGACTTTATTAGAAGATGATTTTACAGACAGAATAGAGCTAAGTGCACCCAGCGGGGGCAAATATAGAGTCTTAAGGTGCAGACAGAGAAATAATTATTAACATGTGAGATAATGAGTGGCGATGAGTGACACTAGAAGTGAAAAGGAAAGATGTGGAAGAGAGAGGAAAATAATGAGGCAGAAAATGCTCTTATGCATTTCCGCTATTTGTACATTTATGACAACTGACAGGGAAAGGGACATTGTATAAGAGTGGGAGTGAGGAAACAAGTGAAAAGGAGAGATAATGGTGGGGACAGAGTTGGTGTAGGGAGGAGGATTATGACAGAAATAAACAATGAGTGTATTTGAGTAAATTGGCAAACATGAGTATAGGACAAAAGAAAAATGCAAGAAAAGTAAAGTGCACAGGTGAAAAGGGAAAATAAATAAAGCCATTTATTTTCTGAATTAATTCTACTTTAAGAAGTGCTTTATGTTGCATACTTAAAGTATATACAGAGTAGGGTATGACTTAAAACAGCTAGATTTCTCAACTCTAACAACAAACCGAGAACACATACAAGAACAAACAGTATATATTGACAATATTAGTTATATTGAGTATGTTTGTGGTCCTTGTTTGGTCGTCAGAGGTTCAGATGTCCAACGTTTACCTCCTTATGAAGTTTACCTCTACCAACTCCTTCACTGTCCAAATACCAGCCAGTTTCTGTGGAAGCATGAACCCACAATATCAACTAATTAGATACCATTAATGTGTTTCTACATAAAGACGCCAAGCGCACAGAGAAGAAAGCATGCACACATCTGTTAATATGGACTTCTACAACAGCCTACAACAGGCTAGGTGTTTCTTTCATTCCCTCCATCTTACTGCTGACATCACCTGCCTGCACAGTCACACTGAAGTGAAGGAAAGCATCTCAAGACGCCTGGAAACAACCCAGTGATCCCGCTACTCACCACCATGGCACCCAGAGGTGAGAAGTAAAACACTTACTGATGTGGTGCAGCAACCTGATGTATCACATTTGTGTAAGGGACTTTAAGCAGGAACATTTACTGGGAAATGTTGACGTTCCCAATGACAAAGTACTTGTCACCCGTGATATTAAACAATCATGCATCCAGTCTGCAGCCAACATTAGTCATCAAGTGCCTTTCTGTGTAAAATCAGTTTAAACTCCGAGATCATCTTCCCCCTGGGAACTATTTTGTTCTCTAATTTCATGCATGTAACACTCTTAGTAACTAAAGGAGACATCATGCCTTCATGTTTGGGATGAACGACAAAAAACACTTGTGTTGTTTTTCGAATCTTTAGTTAAATTAATAGATACATTAACTTTAAGTGGTATATAGTAAGACATAATTCATAGTTTAAAAAGTAAAAGGTCTTTAAGTGCACAGCAATACAATTTTTGGCAAAGATAAAGTATCCTGCATAGTAATGAGTTTCTTATCATTTATGCTTTACTTTGAAGTAAGTATACATCATTTACATTGCATATGAACCCAAGATGACAGTATTACAGACTAAATGATACAGTTATAATTGAGCAACAGAGTTCACCCCTATCTCACTAAGGGTCTGACCCTAAACACACCAGTGCGTCTGAGTTTGTTTTATAGATGATCATAAATCAGTTTGTCGGTGAGGGTTGGGAGTCAATTAGTTTGTTACTGTAACCCATATTTATGAGTTACAGTATGGGTTACTGAATATCCTTTACACCTTATTCCTGTTACATCATTAGCACATCATCAGAAGTAGGATAAAAACATATCCAGTTACCAGTTCAACATTTAACAGTTGTATTATTCTATTGGTGCATTCACTGTGGTCTTATATGTGTCACATTGTACCCTCTGTGCTCTCTCTTCCATCTTCTCTCTTCCGTCATCCCTCCTTTCATGCATGTGAGGCATTCGGCCGTGAATGTCCACATTGCGCACCCCTCCTCTCTATACATACACACACACATTCAAACACATACACACACATAGTCCTCATAGACCTCTGACTTCTTCCAACCCTGTCTCCTAAAAATTACGTTCCCACAGAACTAAACTGCATTCTCAATTACGTTTAGCTAGAAACGTATTTTCTCCCACGTTACGTTTGTTATGAACGTATCTCAAATACGTTTATTTTCGACATATCTTCTAGAAACATATCTTCTCCCACGTTACGTTCGTTATGAACGTATCTTAAATACGTTTATTTTCTACATATCTTCTAGAAACGTATTTTCTCCCACGTTACGTTCGTTATGAACGTATCTTAAATACGTTTATTTTCTACATATCTTTGCCATTTATTGCCTTGCTTATAATAATGATAATAGTCATTTATAAATATCATTTTAGAGCACACATTTGAAATCGAGAATCGGGCTCGATATATGGTTAAATTAAAATCAGTAGGCGAGGCTGTAATTTCGGCAGCTGTTACTCTCATGAGCGAGGCAGAAAATAATAGTTTTAACATGACAAAAAAGCTGCTGTGTCGTTTATTGCACCTCAAAGATTAAAACAAATCCAGAGTTACTTGTTTCTGTACTTCCTCTAAGAAGAAAGGACAGTAAAAGAAGAGCTCTGTGGCTTCAGGCTTGATCGCCGTTCAAATGACAGCGTTGGTTTCCCCAAAAGTGGGCGGGGCTGTAAAGTGACGTTTTACTATCATCTATTATTCAAAACCATTCTATTTATTCTAACGTAAATTACATGCCAGTGTTTTATCTTTTTATTTATTTGTTTTTATTTTAAATCGTATAATGTCGGACTTTTTTCCCGTCTGTGAGGAAAATAAATGGGGTTTAGAGCCTCAAAATACTGAAATCTGTATTTTTTAAAAATCTTTTCCTTCTAATTTGTTATTCTTTTCTAAATAACACACTGTTATTTACTCAACCATAACACACAATTATCCTTGTTTTTATTTATTCGTTTAATTCTATAATCTTGGGCTTTTTAGCCGTAAATAAAGTCACCGGAAACAGACGGGACATTTCGAGCGATACACACCACAAACCCACCGAACTGATTACCCAAGATCCTCAGCTTGAAGCTCGTTGATTGGATGTTTTAGCCGCAATAAACGCTGGGATATGGTGTTAATAAGTTGTGATATCCGAAAACGAAAAATAAAATAATACCTAATTCAGAGTGTTCTTGTTTTTCTCTTTGGAAGTCATCACATAACGGCATTGTAATACACGGTTCGGCTGCATTAAATATTATACATCTGCCGTAGTTCTTTATTTATAGAGCCCTGATGAGAAGACTTCTAGACAAACATGAGGAACTGCCGCCAAAACTGAATACTTGATGTGGATCATAAATATATCAACAATTAAACAACATCTTCAATTTCTTTTCACAAAATACGTCTCCTTGCAGTATCAATAGTAATTCGGCTGACTTTTATATTTGATCCAATTGGTAGATAATAGGTTATATTTACACCATAACGGTGCACAGCTGATAGAAAAGGACTTGTAGTTTTTAAAGATATTACTGATTTTCTTTGAATATAAGAATGTAAATACTGAGTTGAGAGAATAGTCAGGGGATTTGGGTGATGGGAGACACATCTATGGATTCAGAATTTCAATAGCGTACCATTAAATGACGGATATACCTTTCTGTCTGTGATGTTTTACAAATCAGATATTAATGTGTAGAAGTAAAACATGTGAAATAATATAGCAATATCCTGTAAAATTATGTAAAAACATGAATAAAACTACACATCTTCAGATGTTATACATACATAAGTGTTCTACACTAATAATACAAAGTTATTATTAGTATGCTGTTTGTACCTTGTGTGCACCGCCTAGTGGTTAAAGCACGTTATTGAATTATTTTTGTTGAATAATGTTATTTGATTAAAACAATATTAAGAGTACATACTTTCATAGGGGGAAAGTAGAAGGTCAATGATAGAAATATAGAATATAAAAAGTCAAGAAGATACTATAAGTGATCTCTACAATAAAACAGTTTAGTGCAGCATGTACAAAGATATTAATAGGAGGATGTGCAAAACAGAAAAACGAATTAACCTTTATTAACACATTAAAGAATACTTTAGGTTAAGGTCTTATTTTAAACAAGAAAAAAGCTTTGGGGGTATCTATCTACCGATGAATATTAAGCCTGACAAAGTACTTAACGTCTAATATATTGCTTTCCTGCAATGTTAACTATGTTGAAGCACTTATTTTAACTGATATTATACACATTAATTATACTCTTATGTATGTAGATAGAATAAGAAATGTGCAGAATATGACAGTTTAATGGTGGAGGTACACACATATTGATAGATGTCTTGTAATGCGCTGTTGAGGAACCTGCGACCCAAGTTGTGTATATGATCAATAAACCTTAGAAAATCTTGAAATCTTGAAAGGGATGTGCAAAATAGCCATTATACAGTTTTTAATTAACTATTAGTAGAGAATAACGAGTAATGAATATACTTTATAGAGATCTGCAGATAAATGTTTCGTCTTCTCAAGCACCACCTATCAAATATCTCTCCTGATTGTTGGCACTTGACAATCACCTTCCCTGAATTTTACTCAGGTGTAACTAAAGTCTGCTTTAAGGGTTGTTTATATTTCACATCATTAATCAGAATCTGCAAAGTAACTAAACTAAATTTAGTGGAGTAAAAATACCAGGTTAACCTCTGAATTGTAGTGGAGTAGAATTACAAAGTAAGCTGTCGTGTGGGTATATATTAATGCTGCCCATTATGGATATAAGCGATTTTTACCCATTTAGTAATTACATGTTTTAAATGTGTACACACCAATGTGTTTCCTATCGCCTAAACCTCCAGGGCTGTACACAGTTTAATACTGGCAACTTCTAATTGTGGGAAAACGTCTTTTAAAACTACAATTCCCAGTAGATACGTGCCATAGAGAACATGTTGCGAAACACAATAGCCAGCATGTGTATTTCTCGGGGGGCGTTCGAGTCCAGTTTTGAATAGTCTGCCGTGGTTTCGTTCCATTTCAAAGAGCTTGACGCTCGGCGTAACCTTGGCGCACTGCCACTCCAACATCACGGGGTTTGTCAACGGGACTGTAGTCCCAAACGATAGCTGGGGATTATGGGTAGTGTAGTGTCTTCGGCCATCCTAAATCTCGAAATGTCCCGTCTGTTTCTGGTGACTTTATTTACGGCTAAAAAGCCCAAGATTATAGAATTAAACAAATAAATAAAAACAAGGATAATTGTGTGTTATTGTTGAGTAAATAACAGTGTGTTATTTAGAAAAGAATAACAAATTAGAAGGAAAAGATTTTTAAAAAATACAGATTTCAGTATTTTGAGGCTCTAAACCCCATTTATTTTCCTCACAGACGTTTATACGATTTAAAATAAAAACAAATAAATAAAAAGATAAAACACTGGCATGTAATTTACGTTAGAATAAATAGAATGGTTTTGAATAATAGATGATAGTAAAATCTACGTCACTTTACAGCCCCGCCCACTTTTGGGGAAACCAACGCTGTCATTTGAACGGCGATCAAGCCTGAAGCCACAGAGCTCTTCTTTTACTGTCTTTTCTTCTTAGAGGAAGTACAGAAACACGTAACTCTGGATTTGTTTTAATGTTTGAGGTAAACGACAGAGCAGCTTTTTGTCATGTTAAAACTATTATTTTCTGCCTCGCTCATGAGAGTAACAGCTGGCGAAATTACAGCCTCGCCTACTGATTTTAATTTAACCATATATCGAGCCTGATTCTCGATTTCAAAGGTGTGCTCTGAAATGATATTTATAAATGACTATTATCATTATTATAAGCAAGACAATAAATGGCAAAGATATGTAGAAAATAAACGTATTTAAGATACGTTCATAAGGAACGTAACGTGGGAGAAAATATGTTTCTAGAAGATATGTAGAAAATAAACGTATTTTAGATACGTTCATAACGAACGTAACGTGGGAGTAAATACGTTTCAAGCTAAACGTAATTCAGAATGCAGTTTAGTTCTGTGGGAACGTAATTTTTTCTTCTGACCAATCTTTCCTCTTTCTCCATTTCACATTTTAGCATTTAATGGTGTTGCAGATCAGATCATAATAGTAAACCATAATAGTATGTTCTATAAATAATCATGACAGAAAGGTTTGAAATTGCCTGTCAACTAGAACTCTGAACTATTAAGCCATCAAGCAGATAATCCATAACTTCTGTTTTGTGTACTAAATATTTTTCTCCCACATGCTCTCTGCCTCCATAGAGATTCCCATCATCGTTCGTGAAACAATAAGGACTGGAAACAATGGCTTGGAGAGGAGACCAGCAGAACAGTCTGAGTTTCATATAACAAACTGAGAGACAACATTGTGGCATTGACTTTGTTCTCATCCACGTGGATTTAAAGTACAGTTCACACGGATATACGGCTTTTTCAGGACGAGCATGTTCTCACAGAGTGGATTTGCATGAACAGTGTCTCTGTTCTTTGGAGAATGTGTAAAACTGCAGAAAGTGGACATGAGGATCTTTGCCAAATTCGAGCAGAATGAAAAGGAACAACAGCCTCAGATGGTAAATGTCTCATAAAGGTTATATATGGCTACAGGCCTACACTGCACTCACAGCCCTGATGATTAGTAACAGTTTGAAGATCCTTTCCCTCATTCAATGGGGTTGAATATTGCTTGGATATTCTGATCTTTGTAATGAGGACATTTGCGGAATGTAGTTGAAGATTTGTCACTAATCAAATCAAATCAATTCATTTGACTGTTGAGAAGACAATGAAAAGATATAATGGCTTTGAAGACAATGGACAATTCCTTCTGTGGACACTATGGGACTGAATCGAAGAAGAGGTTTGGTGGTAAACCTTTATCCTTTAATGTCAAATTATTTAAAAACAATCAATGAAACTTAACAGAACAACCATTAAACTTGTCAAGGTCTGGATAATGAATTTCTATTTGTGATACAACAAGCTAACTTACTCAAACATTTTCAAATCGGCAAAAACATAAAACTCTGTGTTATATCTGAAAGATGGTTGAACAACAATGTGTTATGAAGCACATACATACTATGCACACAGTACACTCACTTTACATCAGGATTTTATTAAAACAGATAGTGATAGCTAGATGCAGATATGAAGCAGACACAGTATGACAGCACTGTTTGGTTAGCAGCAGCACAAATGGACTACATGCTACCATTGTACCTCACTGAACATGCATGGCAACTAGCACATGTCTTATTTTCTAACTAATGTAGTAAGTGTTTATCTATTCACACATACTTAAGTCAGTAATTGGACTTCAGTAAAACAATTTAGCCTATTGGTTTTATGAGTTAATATATGCTTATACATGTATGTTGGAGTTTGACTTTACATTTGACTTGCTTCTATATCTTACTTTTACGTTTTATTTGAGGAATTTCTCTCTTTGTAAATCCAAGGCCATGGAGCTATCAGGAAGTGTTTTTAAGGTGGACCTTTCTACTGTATGAGTTATGTAATGTAACCTTATTAAAGTAGTAAGAATGTGCGATGTTTGTTGATGATTGCTTGTCTCATGCAGCTTATAAAGAAATAATGTAGTTTTACTGTACTTGTGAATTACATAGCGTGTACAGCAGATCATCAATTTTCTTAATCTTTGTATTTTATCTTTGCTGATATCAAGAGAATGTTAGCCATATTAAATGAACCGATCATAAAATAATATCAAAGGCAATTTAAATGCTTACGTTAATCCAATTTCACTCTCCTTTCTTATAAGTATGTCAATTTTGAGGAAGGCAAGTACAATTGTAGAAAACAGAATGGTTAAAAAATAGTGACACTTTATTAGGGATATATTCTTATAATTGGTTTTCTAATTAGTATGAATGAAATGATGAAATGTGAGTGGTTGGTTTTGATATCTACCAGGAAATGTGTAATGACAGGATGTCTTCCTGATGCTCACTAAATGTTAATTTAAAGTAATGTGGTTTCATCTTGAATCAAATTCTTCTGACTTAATAATGACCAAAGGCTTTCCTACAGCTCCATTACACAGACCAAGAAAGGATGAATTCATGTTGTCATTTTGTTCTAAAGTAGTATCACATAATCTAAATCTGACTTGATGAATACAATTCAAAACTTTTGTAATGCACATGTTTGTTATAAAACTATATGTTGTGTATTGTAAAGGCAGTGGCAGTATTACTCACATTAAGTTCTTAAGAAAACACAATTTCTTGATTTGTCTCCACACTCTTTATATTGAATGTTTTTGAAAACTTTAAATGTGTTTCTGATTGCATATTTTTAAATATTTTGGAACATGAAAAAAAAAATGTGTTTGATTTAAGATACATCAATCTACTTTAAACGGAATATACAGATGATGTGAGCTCTTCAAGTGGCTCATTACATATTAATTTGATCTTAAGGGAATGTTGGCTTTCTCTAAAACATCTCTAGACATTAGTTTACAGTAATCTACAGTAGTCTTTGCATGTTACAACAGTCCCATTAGATATAGTAATGGTATTAATGAATGGAACTAATGGACTCATGACATAGAGTAACAGAGGCAGAATCTGTGGTAGAGAGAAAGTCTTTCTCTCTGCGTATCTTTTTCCAATATCTAAAGTGTGTCACACGCTACCTCTCTTCTTCCCCAATCGCTGTCATTCATTATTTCTCTAATTTCCTACATTCTCAAATAATTTATGAATCCATTTCGTTGTCCCAATGGCAAAGATTAATGATAGACAGTTCTGGGTAAGCGCAATTCTTCTTATTCTTCTTATAACCATTCATTCCTTTCAGTGTGTTCTTTTAACTGTGGATTTTGAAAAGCATTGTATAATCATGTGTGTGTGTGTGAGGTGTGTGTGTGTGTGTGTGTGTGTGTGTGTGTGTGTGTGTGTGTGTGTGTGTGTGTGTGTGTGTGTGTGTGTGTGTGTGTGTGTGTGTGTGTGTGTGTGTGTGTGTGTGTGTGTGTGTGTGTGTGTGTGTGTGTGTGTGTGTCTGTGTTTTAGATGTGCACTTCAGGCTATCCCAGGCACTCCATCTGTGTTCCTGCCAGGCACGGCTGTCTTTGGGGAGATGTGAGATCCTCCAACACACAGCCTGCAGATGAATGAACTCATGTGCACACATGGGGACAAAAATGTCCTGTACACGCAAACATGAACAAACAGACAAAAGGAATCTCCTTTACTGTATACAGTACCAAAAGTGATTTCTCTTCGCCAGGGAGATCTTGTGTTTGGTTGTGCGTGTGTTTGTGTGTGTGTGTTTAGTTTATCACTGCATTTTTAAAGACCTCTCTTTGTTGCAGTTCTCTACTAGTTTAAATATTGTATTTACTGTTTGATACCAACATCAGTGCTTGAATTGGAATGAAAAAGGTGCCAGTACTCTAAAATCAGCAACTTTTTCAAGTCAATTTTATATATACAGCCCACAAACAAGAATTTGGCTACTATAATGCTGGTGGGTTTGTCTCTTTGCTACTGTATATTTTAGAAAGGTTCACTGTACTTAACATTTTTTATGATAGGCAGCAGATATGGCTAAAGCTCAGTAAGGTCAATATTAACTGAAAATATAGCAATCAAAGTCTAGATCTTCTGCTGAAGACACATGAAGCAGAGACCTTTCAGGTGAGAGCCCCTCTGGTGGTGTTCAACATTAATGACAAGGAAACAAAGCTCTGGTCAGAAGCATTTTTTATAAAAAGCTTTAACAAAATTAAGTATTTCTGTACATTTTGAATGCAATCTAACTTTCCAACTCAGAAAACGAAAAACGAAAAAGTGCCAAAAGTCTTCTCACATGGCTGAGCTGCTTTGCAATATACTTCACCACTGAAGAATACAAATATGTATAAAGTAAACTATGATGCAATCTAACTTTCCAACTCAGAAAAATGATAAAGAGCATGAACAAAGAACATGTAAAAACAAATGCAAAATGTGCACAATCTAAAATGAGAAACTGTAACTGCAAGTAACAAAGTCTGAGCCATGGTAAGAGTTACATTGAACACCAAGCTGATCAGATAACTCCCTGGTTGGTCTGAAGTCCTTCTATCTCCAGGATCTGTACAAATCGGCACATTATGCCAAAAGTCTTCTCACTGGGTGAGCTGCTTTGCAATATACTTCACATTGTTAGAAAAGGCTCCAGAAGGCCTTGGGGACATCAGTATCAGGGGCTGGAGCTGGACAGGCTCTTTCATCAGCACTTCTCCTTCCCTTTGCCAGCCAGGACCTCACATACTGTTCCGGATTGAACTGTCCTAGTGATGGTCCATTACATTTAATGAAAACCAGGCTGGACAGTCGGCTGACAGAGAGAGCATTCCTTTTGCAGTAAGGATATCGTTCATGCAGCTGAATGCCCCGCTCACACTCACTAGTGGAGACAGCGATGGTTCGGACTGCTTTCAGTAGAGGCTCCATGGCAGCAGGTGTACGGGATGCCCTGGTTTCCTTGTATTCGCGAAAGCCCTGAACAGTCTCTCTTCTGTCCACTTTCAGCACTTCGCACAAACGTAGCACCTCTACGTCCCCATACTGTACGTCTAACTCCTCTTCAGGCCAACTTCCAGGATGGATAACTTTCATGTCCTGGATTAGCTGATTGTCCCGGGCCTCCCGGCCATGTAATGGGATTTCTCTTGTGCTGACATGAGAGGAGGTTGTGGAAGTCATTCTGTGTCTCAGATTCTCTACCATACTGCGGAAAAAACTGACCTGCATGAATCTGTACAAGCCTGCTATTCTCACGCAGGGTAACACCCTTGAAGGACTTCTCAGCTAGAGCTGTATGAACTGTAGTCATGTGTGGGCCAGGCATGGTGACCATGGATTCAAAAACTCGTATTTCTCGAGTTAAGAGCCTATCTGCTGTAGGCAGTGTCATCTCTCTTTTTTGGAGTTGCCGAGAGAGGTCGCTGAGCTCTGTGAGCGCATCGTACATCAGTCCCAGATTGCTGACAAACGTTGCAGATGTGAGCACATCATCCAGGCCCTTGTACTTTGCTCTGTCTCTGGAATCCCTGCTCGTGTCGTTTGCAGCATTTGTGAAGTGATCATGAAGCACTCGGTAGTTTTCCCAGACTGCTCTGACGCTCCTTTCACTTGAAGCCACCCAGCGGATGGACAAAACACGCCCTATCACCAGGAGACGCTGTCCGACTGCTTGCGCACACTGCGCTAACTGCCTCTGATTTTTGGGGGAGGCATGGAACAAGGAATAGAGTTTGTCAAAAAAAGATCTGGAAATGATTGAGCCCTGAGACCTCCTTGACCACATCCCCAACTGCCAGCTCTAGACGATGATTGGAGCAGTGCCACACAAACAGGCTTGGGAATTTACTACACAACTGGGTAGCAACGCCTGTTCTCTTCCCTAGCATGACTGAAGCCCCATCACATGCAAAAGAAACGAAACACTGACCTAAAAAGTCCTCGTTAAAATCTCTTCCAAGACACTCCATTAACGCCTTTGTGATGTCATCAGCCGTTGTTCCATCCAACTCGATCAGCTCCCAAAAAAAACGTTTCGGGCTCAGCATCAGCTAATGCTGAGCATAGACACACAACAAGCACCGTTTTACCACTAATAGTGGTAGATTCATCGACCAAAACACAGAGTTTTCTTTGGTTTTCTGTAATGTCTTTTGCCATTTTTTTCTTCAGCTCATGAGCTATGTGGTCGATGATTTCGCCACAGGTTTTATTGGAGTGCAAAACCCTGCCCACGTTCAGCCCATTCAGTTTCTGTACATTCAAATCAATTGGCATGTCTGTGAATGGCCGGCTATGTTTGCCAATTGTATATGCCGTTCGAAAAACTCTGATAGTGGTGTCTAATTCAGATTTATGCATAGACTGCACTTGATGTTGAATAGTTTCACGTGAAGCAGATGTAAGGATGTCAGCAGCTTTTACATGGGCTTGTGATTCTTTATGTTCTTTGATTTTTTTTCTCAGGCTAGCTTGTTGTTTGCCCTTGTCAACACCGAAATGAGACACTGCACACTCACCCCATTCAGTTGACAGTTTCAGTCCTTGTCCAGTGTGTATTCCCAAAGATTTGACATATCTGCATATCCGACATCCTAGCTTCTTATCTTTAAGAAGGAGCCATGCATTGGTCTTGCAAAAATATTGCACCTGGTCCGTTGTCCAGCAGTCAGGTGCATCGCTTTGCCCGGTGTTGGTGGTGGCAGTTGAGCCAGCAGCAGCTAACGTTAGAGGCTCTGGAGGAGGCGGCGGAGCTAGTGCTAATGCTAATGCACTAGAACTTGGAGCAGGAGGATCAACCAAAGAAAGCTCCCCATCAGACACAATTTCCAACACAGGCACAGCATTCTCTGTATTTGAAGTTTCTTCCGGCGACAACCGCTGTCTTTTTGCACTTTTATTAATCCATGCTAACATTTTAGAAATGCTAATTTGTGACGTGACTTGCTTTCCTTCTCTCGGGGGCGTGCCTGCTCTGTTCTATCACTCTACATAGCCACCCACTGGGTGGGAGTTGCACTGCATAAACACAACACACGTGCATCTAGGTATGTAAATTGTAAAGCATTAAAACATGGTTTTACTAACAGTTTTCAGTATGTTGTTACTTCGGCATTATTATTATTATTATTTTGAAACGTGTATTACTATTAAATCACGGTCAAATAGGTTAATTTTGACATAGTCGTTTCCACCACAGTTTTTACATGGAGAAGATAAGCCCCGCCCCCTCTCCAGCACGTTCTGTTTGAATGACAGGAGTAAACAGCTGACAGCCGCTGTGAAACTCCAGCGGTTAGAGCGATGAGAATGTCCGTTCGGCACCTCATGACGCATCTACTGAGTACCGGGCGGCTGTATATATATATATATATATATGGATGTATAATAAGAACGGCGGGAGAGTGTTGAGTACTGGCACGGTGCATGAGTACCGGAGTACCGCCAGCATGCCGGTACTGAGCAAGAAGTGCCGGTACTCCATGGGTCAGAACCAGAAGTGCCGGTACTGCGTACCGGTGAGTACCGGCCCAATTCCAGCACTGACACATTGACTCACTGCTCTTAACCTGCTTATAACCTTGTGTGGTTAAAGCTAACAGGTACCAGACATACTACATCTACAGTAAGTATGATGTTTTTTGGACAACTTCTGTCACATTACATCGACATGCGCTTTGTGGAGCGAAAGAGAGAGAAAGTGGGGATAAGCAGCCTGTAGAGCCGGCCTTTTTAAACATATGACTCAGACTAAGGGTTATTTTTAACAAACCAGAGATTGTTCCAACAGTGTAATTACCTTGCCAAGACGGCTTAATTGAGTTTATTTCCAGTTTGAATGAAGTTTGTTTTGAGGTTGTATTTGTGTCACATCAGTAAGGGAGCCAAACATATTAAAATGTACAGGAATAGGTATTTAGATGTTTCCTTTTTTGCTTTACTGAAATAGTAGTTTCGTTATTTGGATGAAATAGATGAATATGGCAGCTGGGAGATATAATGGCAGTCAAAATAAATAAATAAAAGTAATGTGAATGGTTTCAATGACCAGCCTAAGAGCTAGAAAAATAACACAGATACACTGTATATTTAAACTTTACTCCAAACTAAATATCTTCAGGGGAGGATCACATAATCTAATCTATCCTATGGCCAAATAGCGAGTCATCACCAAAAAACCCTGAAGATATCTCTTACCAAGAAAGTTAAATTGTCTCTTGGCCTTCATTCAAGCTTGTAAAAGCTCCTCCTGGAAGGGAAACATAAAACAAACCATTGGCTGCATTACGACAAAACAGTGACCTCTGATCTCTTTGGCAGAACATTTAATCCAGAACAGGGGCCATGCCAGGAAAAGAGGAACAGATTACATTTTGATAAACAAAGTGACGTTGGACGAAGTAACACCCTAATAGGAGCCAGGTAAATTATTTTATATAAATAACCCCTCAGTCCGGGGAGCCGGGTGTCCTGACCTTACCGACTTATCTGTGAGATAAACAAGATTTTACCCAGAAACCATTCCCCAGAACTAAGATGGATACACATTAAACATGTGTGAAGATATTGTGTGAGAAGGGCAGTGGAAAATAATGATGGAAACCTGGCTCACTAGTTTTTCTTGGCAAACTGCTCTCTAGCCGTACCTTAGCAGGCACTGTCACCTTGGCAGTCAGATTGGCTCAGAGGCAAGGGAATTCTGTGCAGCAGCAAACACTGCCGCAGGAGTCCAGGTGGTCACTTTGTAAGTAAAGCTGACCTCGTATTTACAAACACATTATGTGTTTATACTGCCATATTAAACAGAAAATTGTGGCAACATTGTTCATATTGTCATTGTCAATTTGTATTAGATGGGTGGATTGTCCTCTACTTTCTGCATTACTCTGACAGTCCACAGGAGGGCATTGTATACTGTACATTAGGTTTAGATTAGTGATGATGTTGATGATGAAAAAGAAGTCTCAGGAACTCGTGTTTAAATGATGAAGCAAATGGCATTTTAAACTGAGAATACTGACAGAGTGCAACTAGATAAAGTATGTACTATGACACTGAGGTGTGTTTTAACTAGTAGCCTACAGTATGTTGTAAGTTTGTCTAAGAAAAAAAAAAAAAGGTAACGCACACATTCTGAAAATCAGCGTGCTTGGTGCCTTGATTGCTAAGGTGTGTGTGGATGTGTGTATGTGTGTGTGTGTATGTGTGTGTGTGTGTGTGTGTGTGTGTGTGTGTGTGTGTGTGTGTGTGTGTGTGTGTGTGTGTGTGTGTGTGTGTGTGTGTGTGTGTGTGTGTGTGTGTGTGTGTGTGTGTGTGCGTATGTGTGTCTGAGTGTGTGTGAGTGTGTTTTCCAGTAAGGGCTGACTCACTCGCCTATGACAATGTGTTTTAGCTGTTTCGTGGGAAATGTCTGATAATTTTCAATCAATTTTCAATTTCACAATCTTCTGAGGGGTTAATACAGCAGCTTTGTATGCTTTCAGTTTCAGGGATAAACAGCTGTATAAAGCTCTGAAAACATTTAGATATTCATCTCCATAGCTCATAACAAAGCTTGTGTAATATTGCGATACAGGAAGATGATGTCCTGGAACATCCTGTGATTTACTTCATTGTTATATACCTGTTTGTTCATGCTTCAGCAACTTTTATCTTTTATGTCTGGAACCAAAATTAGTTGATGTCATAAGGGGAGTCTACTTTAAAAAGGCACCTATTTCTCGGTCCTTTCTCTTTTTTTCGGACTTTTTGGTGCATTTGTTTAATATTTGAATCAGATGCCGGAACCTCAAAGAGTGTCAAATGATGAACACTTTGTCATGGTAATCTATTAGACCTGTGATGAACCATGAAGTTACATAACATGATAAAGTGCCCATCAATCTTTTTAATCTGGGGAACGTCTGGCTCTAGATTATGTTTCTATC